AAAAATTTTAATTTAAAATTTACCGTCCAAATAATTGAACTCGTTAAATTTTTCAACGGCAATAGTAATTATTTGTCAATTTAATAAATCGAATTTGTATCAAAATTGTTATAAAAAATTTTAATTGCAAACAACATTTTTATACAGCTACATAACTTTTTGCAATAAGCCGATAATTTTATACCGTATTAACATATGAAACGGTGAAATATTCAAAATGTCAGTTTAATACTTTACAAAGCAGATAAACCGGTTATTTTATATTTAATTTGTGTCACATTAAAACATATAGCGCATGCTGTTCAGTAAAATAAACCAAGAGGACTAATTAGAGGTTTGTAATGCAATATTATATTTGAGAAATAAAGTTTTATTCGCGTTTCTTACGCAGAATATGGCAAAATTGGTATACATTCTTTTAAAAACGATAAATACTAGAATGTTTTATTTATCTAGACAACATAATAATATATTAAAATTTATCATTTTCAGCACATAGAATTGCAGCGGTTTTTATGTTTACCTTGAGATTGCGGAGCGGCTGACGGAAATGCGACTGCAACTGCGGCGAGCAGCGCAACGAGCAAAAGAATCGCGAACCTTGACATTCTGCCGATGTTGAACGTACCACGAGTATCCAGTACTAAATGACGACGACAAAATCGGCCAGGCAGTCTTTATATACGGGGATCCGTCTACGTTCCGGGATGTCCCAGCGCTGCGCGTTTACGCAGGTACGAAACAGACACTTTGGGCCGTGTCGAATCAATCGTATATCATTAGCACAGACAGAACCTTTTCTTCGTCGGAGTTAGGCCGATAATGCGTCGCGTCAGCGTTATGTCCCTGAGACGATTTCCTGCTTGGATCATTTTTAAACACTCAGAAATAATTACAATCCTCGATATCACTAGACAGATCATTTTGATCATCTGTCGCCAAATATTTCTATTGTAGATTAATTATTAATAAATTAATTAAAATTAATTAAAGTTTATCCGTTAATAATTATTGATTTTAATTAAAATAATTAATTACTATTATAATATAAGAATATGTTATTGAATTGTTATTCAATATTTAAAAGACTATAAAATATTTAATATAATATAATTTAATATAATATGCTATATATAATATTTAAAGGACTTCAAACAACTTTTAATATTTTAAAATTAAATAAACAAATGGTTCTGTAAATAATAAAATTGTTAAAACAAAGATCTTTGAATTTTATTTTAAGATGCTAAAAATAATGTTGGATAAAAAAAGTTTGGAGACCGCTGGTCGGAATGATGAAACAGATTGTATTTTATGATAAAATTGTAAAAAACGATTTGCTGTGTTGGAATTATAGTCAAACTGAAAAAGTTGAATGCACAAAATCTATCTAATTTAAGATATAATTCAGAATGAGAAATCACATGAGTCAAGGAGAGTCTAATAATTTGTTGTAAGCCTGAAAAGCATAATCACAATTATTTAAATTTTGTTAATAAAATATTATTTTTGGTTATCAGAAAATATCAAGAACTTCCCTGTAATCTGAAATAACATGTAACTAACGTTGCCACATTACATTGTTGTCACATTATTTGTGAACGAATTAGGCGAGAGTACGATTCTTCTGAATTACTAAAACTGCAATTCGTTTTACTTTCTTGATTGCATCGCACTTGCAATAACTAGATTAAAACACGATTTTTTGGAATAATTAAAAATGCAATTGATTACATTTCTGATGGGTCACTAGCAATAAGCGAATTAGAAATGTACAATTTTACGAAATTTTTAAATAATGCAATTAATTGTATTCTTAAAAGATATTTAGTTCGAAGCTTTTTGCTAACTTTCTTTTAAATTAATTCCGAAATTTAATATAAACAACCACAAAGTACATTTTTAAGAATAGGATATTATTATAAAAACAGTTTATCTATGAAAGATCTTTTTATACATTATTAGTAAACAATAACACATTTTTATATAATAATAATGACAAATTATTTTAATTAAAATTAGTTATTGTAAACGCAAAAACTTTAATTTATTTTGAAATGTAAATTTTGTAATATAAAAACCACATTTAAAAAGAACACTTCTTTTATGCGAAATAAAAAAAATATTAAGATATTAAAAAATGTTATGTTTAAAATACGAAGTTAAAAACATGTTTTTATCCCTTTCTACCTTTAAATTTCCTACATTCCATTGTTGCACAACTAGGTATTTAAAACATTATTTTTCAGGCTGTCGTCATATGCATATAATCGCCTGGATGATGTTTCTTGTCCACATTAATTACGCTTAGACTTCCTGAATAGTCAGCATGCTTTAAAAACCATGAAATCATGCTTGCTTGAGAGATACATTAACGGTCAATTAGCAGCCTTGATTTCTCTCTTCACGGGACTTCACGGTCTTAGGTCGACGAACGAACAAACATCGGGATTTCCACATGGACATTGATAACTTGATATTATTGACAACACACACACATAACTTTAGTCACGGCTTTTTTTATTTTTACATCTACATGCTTTAATACGATTTTAGAAATAAAAATGTACATTTCAATAATGAAAAAAAATTGTTTAAATTCCAGAAATGAAGTTTAATGATGCACATTGATTGCGTAGATGACATACGGATTTTCTTCGAGAGGTTTTTTAATTAGCAGACACTTCAAAAATTTATTTACAAAATGGAAATTCCCATTATTATCCTGTTTCCTGCTAGTGTAGAACGAATTCATTAGCATAGCATATATAATTAATACATACATACTTCTTATTAGTACTATGCGTATTTTACCGTATTATGAACCGCAAATAAATTGATTTGTCTGTCATTATTTAGATTTAGGAAGATAAAATTACTTATATTGCGTAATAAATTCCTATCTACATCTACGTCGGAACAAAGGTATTTTAAAGGTTACGTCAGATTTAAGTTCGGGACTGTCAACAAAGAGGCTGAACATTATGCGTGGCATTCTATACTCCTTGCAAAAAATGACTACAATCCTGCATGAAACGTGCAAAATAAGTGTATAAAAGAGCAATTTTGTAAATCGTTATCATAGTTGTTCTGAAACACGAAACTTTTAATGCAAATACTTTTGTGAATTTGATTTCTTTTAATATGCATATATTAACGTATTCAGCGTATTTAGTGATCAATAGTCACGAGTTTCTTTTTCATAAAAAATATAAAGTAGTTTCGTCATCATACTTATGTTAAACCATGTAAACACATTACGTTGAATTATTTCAGTATAAATTACGTCAACCGGATGGCAATTACGTTTGTTTAATTTGTCAATCATCGCCGAAAAAATGTTTTCCAGCAACCTATTTAATACTTTCTTAATGTAAATTGGTGTAAAATAGATATCACACTACTATAAAAAATGCAAATGGATATTAATCAATTTATTTTAACAAATTATCTTACATAATAAATTGTACAATCTCCAATAAGTTTTATCACGTCCTTAAATTAGTTTTGTTTTTTGTTTCTTTTATCAAAAATGTTTTGTGCAACTAAATAATAATTTATTTCATTTTTCAAGATTTAGCAAGAAAATCGGATAAAAAGGCGACAGCGATGTGAAATGTAGTGGGGATCGTGGTTTTATCCTAACGTTTTCAGGCGATAACGGACTCAATTCTTCAACACGATGATTGCTTTAGAAATTATTCCTCGTACTGCTGCTGACGTCGCTTCTTTCTAAAGAAACAATGCATAGTAAAATCACATTAATTTTTATAAATTTCTTTCGGCGAACATTTATCGTTGAAAAGATATAATTTACCCAGTGGGAGATCCGCCATAAGCAGTGGCCACCGAGCTGGCGACTCCGCCTTTTCCCGTGGAGTAACTATTCGCAATGGCAGTGATGGCACCGGGAAAAGAGCCGGAAGATCCAGCCCGAGTGGCCACTCTCGGAAAACTGAAGACCATAGGGAAGAAATTGTTCAGATTAGGATAACCCTGGCGGCGTTTGTTACCCTTGAAAGGTACGAACGGTACAACCGGTTCGTCGTCTTCCTCGTCGTCCTCGTCTTCGTCATCTTCCTCGCTAGTGTCCACAGTCACCGGTGTCTTGTGCGCTTTCTTATTCTGATGCGCTTTTGGCCGTGTCACAGACACCTTTGTGCTGGCCGCAATCGGCTCTTCCGTTTGCGCAATCTCCGTGGTTAGTGGAATCTGTTCGGGTTCATGATGTTCCTGCACATTTTTATTTTATAAATATTCAAATTGTTAAAAGTATTTTAAACATAGGATACTTATAATGGATCTTGTCTCCAATTATGTTTTGTTATACCTTCGGCTTTACAATCTTTTGCTTCCTTTGCATATTTATTTGAAAATAATGTTTACGCAACATCTATAAATTTTATACCTGCTGTTCCTCCTCTTCGTGATGTTTGTTATGCTGTTCTTGACGATGATGATGATGTTGCTGTGGTGGATATTCCTGTTCCTGCTCCTCTTGGGGTGCCGCTTGTGCCTCAGCGCTGGAAACTTCCGGTTCATCGATGGGTTCCGGACCATTTTTTAGATGCGGCGTGTGCACACCCCCGAAGAACGTTTCGCCGCTTACGGCGTTTCCTTGTGCAAAGACGCCCGACGCTTGGTCGCCGTTATTCGAGCGACGTATCGGCCTATAATATCCGGTGAACATCATTGCCCTGTGTGGATAAGGACGCACCGCCGTCCTTTTTTCTCGCGGGAACATTATGGGGTTGCTGTAAGTGTCCAGCATGCCAGAAACTGTAAAAATGCCATTAGCCGGTTAGTATATTCTTAACTTTATTTTTTTTCTTTTAGCTTTATTTGGTAGGAAAATTTGTATTTTGTGATGAAACTAAAATATGACAAATTAATTATCAGAATTTTATCGATTATTTTATCGTACATTTAAGCAATTTGGAAATGTAATATTTTTATTTTGTAATTAGAAGACTGTAATATTATTTTCAGAATATTAATTTTCAATACTCACTAGGCTGAGCCGGAATCACTCTTGATTCCGATATCGCGATCATCGATGCGATCGCAATCAGAACGAAACTTATCCAACCAGCCATTCTTGCTCGGATTCTGATCCCTCTTCGAAGTTCCGCGCAACAACTCTTTCTTTGCTCGATCGTTTTCTCCTCCAAGATTTTCTCCGAAAAGCACCGACGGTTTCTTGCGATTTGGCAATGTGTGACGGAAAATCGAAGCAGTTCACTATCATCGACCTTGCCGGTCTACCCGATGCACCAACTTTTTGCACGATGCTGCTAGTCTTGCCGTCGCAATCGCTTTTATACCATGGAGACACACGGACACGCGGAACAATCGGATGGACGGATACGTTGACATGAGGGTATGGGATCGGACCCATTGGTGGATACTCGGGGGATGTGGAATCGAGTAAATCCCCCCACCAGGTGGTTGCTTTTACGGTCAGGATCGCCGTAAAGCAAGCACACGTCTCGTTCAACTCTACGTGATCGTCATGACCGATGCGGCACATGCTGGATCTCATGCATTAATTGTGATTCGCGTCGATCACAATCTAGATTCTCGGGATCGAACTGATGTAGCTGCGATGATCCAATGCGCTCTGCCGGAAGAGAGACTATAGTTCCAGAATAGCTAATCACATTGTGCGGAATATGAAAATTTATGGTATATAAAAAAAGGGAAAGAAAAAAGAGAGAGATGCACGTAATATAAAATATGAAATGATGAGTTTGCCATTGATTTTACAATAATTGGAGATTCTCTGAATTAAAAGAAAGAGATGTCTTAACTTCAAATCTAATTTTTCTCGTATGATATAATTTGATTTGTCAGCGGCAAGGGAAGACATCTCAAGTATCCGATAAATCTTGAGAGCAGAGAGGATCAGATGGACTCGAAGCTTTTGGCTCATGACTGAAGCAAAGTGTTTGTAATGAATTCGCTTGAGAAACGGCAAGAATGTGAATGGGCAGTGCTTGATGAATGTCGCGCAGGGCTAATGACCTACCACTTTGCCTCTTTCACGACGTGAGTTACTGAGTCACCTCGATCGAGGCGTGATAAAGGGATCTAGCGTCCCAGACAAACAGACTCGAGGAAAGGTTCATACATTTTCATTTGTTCTAAAAATATACACGAGAGAAAACAAAAGATTCTCTTTTACCCGTCTATTTTCTCGGACAATTCTTTCCCCTCGGAAAGCTTTCGGAATTCCTGTTAATTCGGCTTCGATTCTTTCTACGCAACTTTTTCATAAAAATAAAAAAGCACAGATAGATTTAGAGATAAATTCAAAAAAATTCTTGAAAGAAGTGTACATATTAATAAACATTAAGTGACATTAAAGTAACTTAAAATTCAAGATATAATAAAAATTGTGCGTGATCAAACGCAACCGTGAGAAAGTCGCATTTTTTTCATGATAATCGTGAAAGTTACAACTGCAGCTTGAGCTACTGCATTTGTCATAAATATATTACACTATTTATATTGAATATTTCCGCTTTTTTATGCAATTTTTAAGCTTTGAAAATATAGAACGTAGCACAGAAGGGGGACACCGATACATCAAGGCGGATCCGACTACGCGAGAGAGCATTTAATGATTCCAGACACAACAGCTACGGCCACCGTCATTGGACTCTTACGGACTCCTTAATCATCCCCTAAGAATTATCGTCGCCTCTGACCGGTCGTATCCGCGAACGCTCGAGCGAGTATGACTGACATAATATTAATATTAAAAAGTCACATTACACGAAAAGTTACGTCAAACATACGTCATTACTCGTGCGTAGTAAATGGAGCATCCGGCATCGTTCATGATTTATCTGAAATCGTTGCGCTAAGAATAGTCTGCACAAAATAAAAAATATTTTCTTATGCAGAGTATAATAATTATAATTAAAATTTATCAAGTTAAAAAACATTTAATTTAAATATTTTTATAAAATATCTGACATTTAAATAAAAATCCTTATAACGTATAATTTGGACATTTGTGGGATAGTTTTGCAATAAAAAATATTTATATTTTTTTGTTTATTATAAAATATTTATATTTTTAAGCTCTAGTTTACCAAATAATTCAACAAGGATAAAAATCAGTTGTTATGTTGCCTATGAATTCCACATTTGCCAATTCGACGATTGTGATGCTAGATCACGCAATAGAAACGTGTCGTAATCGAATTATATGAGCTGAGAGAAAAGCGCGTTGCCAATGTGCTGATTAATTTTGACGTTTTCCAAGAAGGAAACGCATAAAAATATTCCGGACGAGTAATGTACGAATTTTATCATACCAACCGCGATGCGTTTGCCATGCCTTCTATCAGACATGCTGCTTTTTGATCCACCTGGTCACGCTCGGAAATACAATATGCGTGACTTGGAAAACGGTGCGTTTTGGAGTTGATTCATGAAATAGCGCGGATTCATGATGTATGCGATGTCTGCGATAGCGGTAGACGAACGTGACAATTGATAAACTACTTAAAAGGCGGACTTGGCAACAGATATTATATCTTGAGGCTCATGATTCAATTTGAAATTATCAACTTTTAATGCTATAAAAATATAGAACACTCGAAATATCGCGCTGTAACATGTGTATAATTAATAATCTTTTGATTAGAATTCGGTTTAATCGTGTTCGATCAATAGTCGGTCTAAAGACAAAAAAGTGAACGATAAAGAATGAGTTTGATGACCGCACGGTACACTTGATGTATAAATAAGACATGTATTCGGACGAGGATAAAAGGGACGAGTGCGTCTAAAGTTGAATTACAATGTTTTTATGCTGAATTTTTGCGAATTATCATATTCTGTATTGTTCGCTTACTTTCCGAGCAATAAATTCATATCTCGTATACGAAGTCGGCTGAGCTCTTTTTGTGGAATTAAAAACAGAGAACTCAGAATTCCCAGGATTTTGCGGTATACTTGACTCCCACTTTTGCGTATCTCTACTCGTGTTTGCCGACAGAATTTCATTTGATACCATCGCGTAGGCTGAATTAAGATTAGCCCATGTCGAATTACACGTGCTGCGCAACGGCATATGGCGGGATCGGTTCACGTGCGAAAACCGCCGGAATGTGAAACATGCGAATCGTACTACTTTGTGGCAGCCCCGCCTAACTGACAATGAGATCTCGTCATGCGATCTGCTCGTAAATGATGCTGATTAATTCGTGACGCATGTCACAAATCGATAGGCGATACGCGTTGAAATACGAAATCTGTTGTTCATCGTTCGCACGTCGATTCCGAATATCTTCGTAAACATCTCTTCATTTTTGTTTCAGAAATATTAATATTATATAGAAAAAATTGTCAGCTGTATATTAAAATCTCTGGAGGTCTTTTGCAAAAACTACACTAATGAATGGAGATTTTTGTCTCAGCTTCCACGAAACATTGATTCTAGACACATCTTGTACACGTGTACTAACGACATCCATGATCCACGATTTGGAAACAAATCACGAAGAGTAGTTCGGTAAATCCGGTAAGCATGCGGTTGAAAGACCGCGTAACATCTCGCCTGTGGATTGCGCTTATTTTGCAAATTTTGAAAATAAAACGGGGAAGACGTTTGTGTTGAATCGCGGTATGGAACATGTTGCCATATCCTGTTCAGTGGCGTAGTCAGGACGAAAGAATCGAACCGTGGAGATCCTGCCAAATTGCAGAAAAGTAACAAAGAGCGTATCAAAGTTATTAAAAAAATTATTCACTTCCGTCGAATTAAAGAAATATATTGCCCAGACATTCTACATCCTGCAGATTCTGTATACAAAAATAAAGCAATTTTCATCTTCGCAATCATTTTAATTTCCTAGTTGCGCCAATGACGCCACTAATCAGCAGTCAGTGGATCAACGACGGATACCCGTTTGAGATTTAGTGTCGAGCTTTTCCAGGGAAGACATAAAATAGTCGCAGGTGCACCATCGGCCGACATAAACGCGCGTATACTCGACGATACACATACGAGCACTACGAATTCTGCATTGCGATAGAGGTCTGATGCAAATGTGAGATCAGACCGGAGACGAAACACCTGCACTGGTCCATTCTGCTTACTACCCAAAGAAATTGATCGGCTCAATTTATATTCGTATCATGAGACGCTACTTCCGGTCTGAATTAATGCGTGAGATTGAAATCTCTTTAGTCATAATACAAAATTTTGCACACTAGCCTTATGTAATTTTTATCGTATGTATGTATGTACATTAATCGGTTAGCTTTTAAGTTATTTTTAATTGATATTAATATAAATATAAGTTATAATATTTAAAAATCTTGATGTGCATTATAAAAATTAATGTATCCCGAGTCGAAATTTAGCGTCTCTTTTAATGCTCATACAGCCTATATGAACCTATTTTTACGGAATTAGAACCTAGAACTCCTCTTTTAAAACTTGATCTCCTATAATTTGATGTTGAAATACTACTTTAAACCTATAGAGCCTCACAAAATAGATTGTATTACTGCGAGAACTCCTACCATTAAACCTCGAACTTTTTATCTAGTATATATATATATATACTAG